CTCCCATCTTCTCTCTCTACCCCATCCACTGTAATTCATTTCTCTCCCTTGTTTTTTTCCCCTTTCCCCTCACTTCCTCTTATACATAATTTTGTACAACAATGAGGGTCTCCTTCCATTTCCATGCAATTTCCCTTCTCTCTCCTTTTCCCTCCCACCTCTCATCCCTGTTTAATGTTAATCTTTTTCTCATGTTCTTCCTCCACGCTCTGTTCTTAGTTGCTCTCCTTATATCAAAGAAAACATTTGGAATTTATTTTTAGGGATTGACTAGCTTCACTTAGCATAATCTGCTCTAATGCCATCCATTTCCCTGCAAATGCCATGATTTTGTAATTTTTTAGTGCTGAGTAATACTCCATTGGGTATAAATGCCATATTTTTTTTTTCCATTCATCTATTGAAAGGCATCTAGGTTGGTTCCACAGTCTAGCTATTGTGAATTGTGCTGCTATGAACATCCATGTAGCAGTATCCCTATAGTATGCTCTTTTAAGATCTTCAGGGAATAGTCTGAGAAGGGAAATAGCTGGGTCAAATGGTGGTTCCATTCCTAGCTTTCCCAGGAATCTTCATCCTACTTTCCAAATTGGCCATACCAATTTGCAGTCCCACCAGCACTTGTTGTTGTTTGACTTCATAATGGCTGCCAAACTTACTGGAGTGAGATGGTATCTTAGGGTGGTTTTGATTTGCATTTCTCTGATTGCTAGAGATGGTGAGCATTTTTTCATGTAATTGTTGATTGACTGTATGTCCTCCTCTGAGAAGTACCTGTTCAGGTCCTTGGCCCATATGTTGATTGGGTTATTTGTTTTCTTATTGTTTAATTTTTTGAGTTCTTTGTATACTCTGGATATTAGGGCTCTATCTGAAGTGTGAGGAGTAAAAATTTATTTCCAGGATGCAAGCTCCCTCTTTACCTCTCATTGTTTCTCTTGCTGAGAAAAAAGCTTTTTAGTTTGAGAAAGTCCCATTTGTTGATTCTTGTTTTTAACTCTTGTGCTATGGGTGTCCTATTAAGGAATTTGGAGCCTAACCCCACAATATGTAAATTGGAGCCAAGTTTTTCTTCTATCAGACACAGAGTCTCTGATTTGATATCAAGCTCCTTGATCCATTTTGAGTTAACTTTTGCAGCATGGTGAGAGAAAGGGATTCAGATTGATTTTGCTGCATATGGATTTCCAGTTTTCCCAGCACCATTTGTTGAAGATGGTATCTTTCTCCATTGCATGCTTTTAGCACCTTTGTCAAATATAAGTTAGTTGTAATTTTGTGGATTGGTTTCTGTGTCCTCTATTCTGTACCATTGGTCCACTCGCCTGTTTTGGTACCAGTACCGTGCTGTTTTTGTTACTATTGCTCTGTGGTATAGTTTGTAGTCTGGTATTGCTATACCGCCTGTTTCACTCTTCCTGCTTAGAATTGCTTTTGCTATTCTAGGTCTTTTATTTTTCCATATGAATTTCATGATTGCTTTATCTATTTCTACAAGAAATGCCTTTGGGATTTTGATTGGCATTGCATTAAACCTATAGAGAACTTTTGGTAATATCACCATTTTGATGATGTTAGTTCTGCCTATCCATGAACAGTGTATATTTTTTTATCTTCTAAGATCTTCTTCTATTTCTCTCTTTAGGGTTCTGTAGTTTTCATTGTATAAATCTTTCACTTCTTTTGTTAGGTTAATTCCCAAGTATTTTATTTTCTTTGAGGATATTGTGAGTGAAGTGGTTTTCCTCATTTCCATTTCAGAAGATTTGTTGATGATATACAGGAATGCCTTTGATTTATGCGTGTTGATTTTATATTCTGCCACTTTGCTGAAATCATTTATTAGCTCTAGTAGTGTCTTTGTAGACCTTTTGGGTCTTCTAGGTATAAGACCATGTCATCCGCAAATAGTGATAATTTAGGTTCTTCTTTTCCTATCTTTATGCCTTTAATTTCTTTCATCTGTCTAATTGCTCTGGCCAGTGGTTCGAGAACTATGTTGAATAGAAGTGGTGAGAGAAGGCATCCCTGTCTTGTTCCAGATTTTAGAGGGAATGCCTTCAATTTTTCTCCATATAGAATGATGCTAGCCTGAGGCTTAGCATAGATTGCTTTTACAATGTTGAGGTAAGTTCCCGATATCCCTAGTTTTTCTAGTATTTTGAACATAAAGGGATGCTGTACTTTATTGAATGCTTTTTCTTCGTCTATCAAAATGATCATATGGTTCTTATCTTTAAGTCTATTGATGTGGTGAATAACATTTATTGATTTCTGTATATTGAACCAGCCTTGCATCCCAGGGATGAATCCTACTTCAACATAGTGCACAATTTTTTTGATATGTTTTTGTATCCGATTCGCCAGAATTTTATTGAGGATTTTTGCATCTAGGTTCATTATAGATATTGGTTTGTAGCTTTCTTTCTTTGAAGTGTCTTTGTCTGGTTTCATAATCAGGGTGATGTTGGTCTCATAGAATGAATTTTGAAAAGCTCCCTCTTTTTCTATTTCCTGAAATAACTTGAAAAGTATTGGTATTAATTCTTCTTTAAAGGTTTTGTAAAACTCTGTTGTATACTCATCAGATCCTGGGATTTTCTTGGTTGGTAGTCTTTTGATGGTTTCTTCTATTTCCACCATTGATATTGGTCTGTTTAAATTGTGTGTATCCTCCTGACTCAGTCTGGGCAAATCATATGACTTAAGAAATTTATCGATGTCTTCACTATCTTCTATTTTATTGGAATATAGGGTCTCAAAATAGTTTCTATTGCCTATTTCATCCCATATGTTAGTAATTTGAGTTCTCTCTCTTCTTCTCTTCATTAGCATGGATAAGGGTCTGTCAATCTTATTTATTTTTTGAAGAACCAACTTTTTGTTTTGTCAATTTTTTCAATAGTTTCTTTTGTTTCAATTTCATTGATTCCCGCTCTGATTTTAATTATTTCTTGCCTTCTGCTACATTTGCTGTTTCTTTGCTCTTCCTTTCCTAGGGTATGTCCATATCATTTTACCATTTTTCCTGCCGCAATCCCCCCTATCTTAACATTCCTCTCCTTTGCTCTATCTAAAGTTTGTCTATTTCTCCCATGTTCCCCACCATCCCCATTATAAATCAGCATCCTTATATCATAGAAAACATCCAGCATTTGCTTATTTGTGATTGGCTTAATTCCCTTAGCATTATATTCTCCATTCATTTACCTGCAAATGCCATAATTTTATTCTCTTTTAATGCTAAGTAATATTCCATTGTGTATATCCATTCATGTACTAAAGGACATCTAAGTTGGTATCACAATTTATCTATTGTAAACTGTGGTTTTATATTGATGTGGCTATGTTCCTATAGTATAATGTTTTTAAGCCCTTTAGGTATAGACTGAAAAGTGAGATAGCTGGGTCAAATGGTAGTTTTATTCCCTATTTTCCACGGAATCTCCATATTGCTTTCCATATGAGCTGCACCAATTTGCAGTCCCACCCAACAGCAATGTTTGAATATTCATTTTTCCACACATTCTTGCCAACATTTATTGTTTTTTTTTTATTCTTTTAAAATATTTCATTAGTTGTTTATAGACCTTTATTTTATTTACTTACTTATATGTGCTGCTGAGAACCAAACCCAGTGCCTTGAACATGCTTGACAAGCTCTCTACCAGTGAGCCACAACCCCAGTCCTTGTTTTTATTCTTTTTTTTTCTATCAGTTCCAGCTGATTTATTAAATTGTCAAGATACAGACTTCCAGCACAAAAAAAAGAAAAGAAAAAAAAAAGGCAATGATGTCGACAGTGCATTGAGTCTGCTTTGCCACCATTTGCTACAAAATATGCAGATGGTCTGTACTTTATTTAGATTATATTGCACAAAATGAGAAACTTTTTAAACTATGTGCCTTTTTTCTTTTTTGTTAACAATTGAGAATCCAGTTTCAAACCTTCCACCTGGGG